CTAAAAACGGTCCATTGGAGTGAACGGAGCGAGTCAGTATTGAGGACCTCTGCAGCGAAGCGGCGCGTTCACAGTTTCGGCACTTCTCGGGTGTTTGCGTCACCGACTCGGGCCACAGCGCCTCCATTTTGATTTCACTTGCATGGTAGCTTGTGTGCAGTGTCGGCACAAACGGGAGAAAAACAGGAGCAAACACGGAGGCGCCGAGATTATCACAGAAATGGACGGGTAATATTAAATCAGTGAAGCTAACTACAAGGCATTTCACACATATTACGGCAGCAGAGATGTAACTATGTGAAAACGTCATTGTATGAGAGAGCTATGGGGGAAATGTTGTGTTAGCGGGTTTCCATAGCGCCGCATTCTTCTTTGCTATTTAGGAACGGCTTAATGTTAGCATGCTTTTCTAAGTTAGCACCGAGTCGCTGTTTTTCTTATGAACTGTTCTAGTTGTTATTTAAAAGCCTCTCATATAAAGCGACGCTTTCAGGGAAAAATGCTTCTTTTTTTCCTAAGTTGTACTTGACAGTAGCTTGCTACCGGCTCGGCTAATAAAGTTTAGCAAACCGTTATGCTAACTACATGCTACACTACCACTGCTCCTTTGTGTAGCACCTGACTGCTTTTAAATAACCAGTGTATGTAAAAGGTAAAGAGAGTGAAATGTGCCCTTACTTTAAATCAGTATTCCTAACTTCCGGTTAAAAACATCCTATTTTGTGGAGTTTTACGGTTAAACCATAGAAACAGTTAAGCTATACCTCCTGTTGATATCTAACTTAAACTTGTATCACGTTGAGTTACTAGTATTACAAGTGTACCACAGTGTGTCATTTATAGTATGTTCATTGGGGTCGAAGCGAGAATAACTTGAACGTTAATTAAAGATGTTATGAATCATAAGTGAGCTCATGGGGAGGCGGGTGAAGGCAGTAGGTCATGTAGGCGAGGAATACACGTTTGGCAAAGCTATTTACATATCAGCACAGAAAATAGACTGCATGTATAAGCGGCTGTAATCACATTAATGAAGGGTCCATGTATTCAGTCAGTGCACAGAGTGGAGTTAAGCAGCTCTGGTTCTATGTGTTATGGACTCGAGTGTCATGAGAATACGCTGATATAGTATCATATCTAATGCTGTTTCTGTTTTATGTTGTTCTGCTGTTTTAAATCCCTTAACTGTGAACACACAATTATTTCTTTCAGCATCGGTGATGTTGCAGTTGGTGTGAAGGTGAGTTTCTTCACATATGTACATACTTAAACATACAGAACACCAAAGCGCTTGCTCATAGGGGGTCATATGATTGTTGGGTTTCTCTCTGTGTATTACTGTAGGGTCTATCTTACAATATGAAGCACTTTGAGGCGACTGTTGTTGTGATTTGGTGCTGTATAAATAAACTGAATTAAAAACAAGTAATGCAGTACTTTACTTAATCCTCCTGGGAGTAATTAACAGGTAGAAACAAAGACTGTTCTCTACAAGAACCGGCTCTCGGTTCCAATCCCTACATGGGGGTGTATAAAACCTGGAGACCACCAGAAAGAAAGCAGGTGGTCTTTTGTTTGTTTTTGTCTGTGTGTGCGCTGCATTAGCGTAGCTCCAAGGTGTAGTGGTTAATAAGTTTGCTTGACAAGTGAAAGGTTGCTGGTTCAAACTCAGGCAGGGCATCTGGTGTTAAACTGCCAAATCAAACAGGTGACGCTACTTGCTGTGGTGGTGACCCCTTATGGCAAAGAAGAAGCTGCATTAGTAATGACTGTTGCATGTATACTGTTTTCTAAGAGCTTAATATGACATTTTCTTAGGAATAGAACTTATCCTGCAGTATTGAACTGACCACTAATCATCCACAACCTGTAGATGATGTTTGATTCAGGGAATGATTCATAAACATGAATAAGTGTTAATGCTCTTTTAAATTCTGAATAATCATATCTGAAGCTCTAATGTGTTGCAAGAAAGCAAAATATGTGTGTGACTTCTTTGTTATCGGTTAACAGATGGATTTATGTGCTCTGACTATTAAACAAGTTCCACTTGAAAACATCTGTGTTTTAATCTGACATCTCAGTTATTGTGTCAGTGTGTTCATTCAGACTGAGGATTGATTGGGTAAAGCTGAAACCTTATATTGCTCCAGTAAATATGTGGAAAGTTACTCCACACTTGTTTGCTCGTGACTGCGTATAGCTGCTCCGGGCTGCTACTCTTATTTGTTGGTACATTAAGGTATGTAACGGCTGAACTGATTGTTCTGATAGTGTGCTGCTGGGAAATGGGTTTATCTCATCAGTGTTTCAGTGTTTGAGGCAAAGACCAGAGGGCTTCCAGCTGTTAGCAGACACATTACTCCGACCCTGTTGGCTGTGACACTTGTGTGCTCATCATTTTGGCCTTATTCAGGCTACTTTTCCCCTTTGAATTTATCTGCACCATGTTTCTGTAGCTGAGCCTGCAAGTGACAGAAGAACAAACAGTTCAAATTCGGCGAGGAGGTGGGATACGAAACTATTAGAAAGTTGTGTGTGAGATGGGTCCCTAGCCATGTTGGTTGCCATCCCATCAGTCAGGGTTTAAGAGCAGAGGGTGCCGGGCAGTGCCAGCAGCCCTTCAGAGACCTTGTATAGCTCAGGGTGAGATGACACATCTTTACATCTTACTTTTAGCAATTTAAACTGACACAGGAGCGAGACCATTAGTGTGATGTTTTATCTTCAAGGGCCTGTCAGGAGAGTCTTTTTCTCAGCAGTGCCTGATGCTGTTTCTTTCCTTCCACAGAGAGGATCGGATGAGCTGAGTATGTACAACAATTCCAACTCTGACATGAGCAGCGGTGAGTTCGTTCCAACCACCCATGAACTCTGAGGGGATTGATGGGATTTGCATGCAGCCGGTCGATACAGCAGACCTCAGCATTAGGTGAAATAGGCTGCATGAGTTTAGGTGGAGAGAGCTGTTTGGTGGGTGACATCACGCTCCTTAGTAGGAGGGCACCTACTCACCATAGCCAGTGGCTGGAACAGACACGAGGATATCCCTCCTCTCTGTTTAAATGTTATCATTGCATGCATGAAGGTTTTTCTGACGAAGGTTTTCCTGTCTTCCTTCTCTCACCCCAACCGGTCGCAGCAGATGGCCGCCCCTCCCTGAGCCTGGTTCGAAGCGCCTTGAGGCGACTTTTGTTGTGATTTGGCGCTATATAAATAAAATTGAATTAAATTGAATTGAAGTTCTTCCACTTCCCACACCGCCCCTGTTGAGTTTCTGACACGGCCTGAGCATATCTGTAGCTTCCTTGTGCAGTTGAAATTCCCAGTACGCCAGCTTTCGATACTCTGATGGAGTTTCCTTGTTTCACAAGGATCTATCTGGACACAAGCTCGACTATTCTGTTCCTCGCTGTACGCAGCCACACTTCCAGTCTCTGGTACAGCTCCAGTCCTGTCTTGGAACATTTGAACTGGGAAAAATTATTGAACAGGCTTACTGAAATGTATTTAATGCTGTTTAATACTCAAGATGGCTCCTGTGTGGAGAAACTAGTTACATGAGTGATTTTGGCCCAGTCTTCCACACGGACAGTCTTAAACTGAAGGAGCTGTGGCCCCTTCTAGGAACTCTGAGCTTCAGCTTCCAAAGATTTTCAGTTGGTTTTCTTTGAAACAGCTGTCGCTCTCCACACTTCCTCCTCGTCGGATAATCCTTTTCACTCACTGCATTGCAGTTTTGTCTCCACAATTAAATCCATCACAAAAAATTAGCGCATTGTAATCGTCACAGTGCCGTGTGGATCCTAGCATACCAGCTGATGCAGGAAATGTTCTGTTTGTTTTTCTTAGGTTTGCCTCATTGTTTCTGATTCTAGACATTTGTTGACAGTAGCAGAAACTCACAAGCTTTACCTTTAAGATGCCAGTGTGTCGTTGTAGTGCACCTTTCAGTTAATCAGCATTTCTCCTGAAATCTTAGATGGGGCTCCCAATGGCAGTGACAGTAAGAAGCTAAGGGTGGAGGAGGCCCTGCCGTCTCGTGTGATCCACATCAGGAAGCTGCCAAACGAGGCCTCGGAGACTGAGGTCATTGCCCTCGGCCTCCCCTTTGGCAAAGTAACCAACATTCTCACACTGAAGGGAAAGAATCAGGTGAGTGAATCAGGCTGTTTAGCATTTGGATAATTTCATCCAAGACAGTTGTTAGGCTCAATGTGAAAGCACAGATAAATTCACACAGGACAAGCTTGTAAATGCATCTGACAATTGTTCCAGACACAGTCGAACATGTTGAATTTCATCATTAAAATAACCAAGTAAGACTGAGTCAACAGCTTTTTCTTTCTTTTGTCTTCTCTTCTAACGTTCAGGCGTTCTTGGAGATGGGGACAGAGGAGGCAGCTGTCACCATGGTTAACTACTACTCCAAAGTAACTCCTCTTATCCGTAACATCCAAGTGTTTATTCAGTACTCCAATCACAAAGAACTCAAAACTGATGCTGCTAATCAGGTGAGTGGAAACTAACAGACTGATATGTTGTTGCACAGCTTCATGTCCAGAAAACATGTTTTTAAAACATGCTTTCAACGTGTGTGCCTCATCACTGCTGTTATTTGGCTGCATGAAATGCTTGGAAATATCTGGAATCATTACAAAAGAACAACAGCCGTAGAAGGTGCCTGTTTGATATTTGCCACCTACATTAATAGCTGCGTGGTGTGCTTGTGTTTGGGTGCAGCGGACCCAGGCCGTGCTGCAAGCAGTGTCAGCAGCCCAGTCACCAGGGTCCGAGGTACAGGAGGTCCTGGCTGCAGTCTCCAGTCCTGTGCTGCGCATCATTATTGATAACATGTTCTACCCTGTAACGCTGGACGTACTGCAACAGGTAGGCAGCAGCTAACAGAGTATTTGCTGCTTGTGGCTGAACAAGAAACCTCCAGTTTCTTTGTGTTGACAGATTTTCTCCAAGTTTGGCACAGTCATGAAGATCATCACGTTCACCAAGAACAATCAGTTCCAGGCTCTTCTGCAGTTCAGCGATCCCGTCAGTGCACAGCAGGCCAAACTGGTATGGTCACGTTTTCTTTCACATCTAATAGGATTGTCACAGTACTAGAGTTTCAAACTCTATATGAGTCTTAGGAAAATACTCTATATCATTTTTGACACCCCCCCCCAATCCTGCAACAGTATAAGTAATGGTGATGAAGTCTTATCTTGAAAAACTTGGCCTGTTAATTTTCATCCAATTTTCCCATTTCTAAGTTATATTTAACAAAATAAGTGTTTAACTTTCAGGGTTTTTTATTTTATCATATAAAACCTGAGCGCTTACTGTCAAAAAGACTGTAAGTTACTGTAAAAGTAGAAAAGT